CCTCAGCCCGCCCCCTTGACCTGTCCGTCCTCCCTGGACTGACCTATCTCGTCCCTACCTCCCCACCTACACTCACCTCTACTGGCTCCATCCCCGCCTCTTTGAGCTGTCTATCTCCTCTCCACCTATCTTCTCCTCTATTCATCTTCTATCCACCTCCCCCTCTCTCCCTATTTATTTCAGAACCCCCTTCCCCTCCCCCATTTCTGAAGGAGGATCTAGGCCCAAAACGTCAGCTTTTCTGCTCCTCTGATGCTGCTTGGCCTGCTGTGTTCATCCAGCTCTGCACCTTGTTATCTCAGATTCTCCAGCATCTGCAGTTCCTACTATCTCTGTTCAAATACAGGTTCTCATTCACAGCACAGATACAATCAGGACCAAAGGATGCACACAGTACAGGTCACATTAAAAAGGCTCATTTTTACAATGTCATGAATGGATCCTGATATTTTCCAAAATCAAACATTCGGCTTGAACTGGGGATGCATGTGGCACATTACTGGGAACAGAAATGAAAGAACCACCCAGTCATTAGTTAAACAGTAAATTTGCTAGTACAAGAGATAATTCCTTTAGTCATCTGGAAGGGGACAAAATGACAAGACAGTTGTGATCACAATGGGATTGAGGATGTAGAGTAACAGGTGTCAAATATCTGCATAATGAGCAGGCAGTCAAGCTTGATCTGCCTGGCACACTTCTTGATATTCTTTATCATCTTGCATGAAATCCTGTAACAGGGGCACTTTGAAAGTGATCTTCGTATATTAGAAAAGCATGATCATTTCAAAAAATGCCACTGTACCTTCAAGATTTTCCTTCCTTCCAGGTGATGACCATTGCCCTTTAATACCCACATCAATTGGAGGACAACACTGGGCAGAACCTTTGCAAGAAGAAAACAAGAGGAAAATCATGGCCCACAGGCCTGCATCCCAATGTCCTTAATTGCTCATGTTTTCAACATATATTTTCTGGTCCCCGCATGAATTGTACAGTTCCTTTGAGTAGATTTCCTATCCGGTGTCCTGCCTGTCCTTACCTGATGATTAGTTTCTTTTTTCCAGGCACCAATGAGTCGTAAAGTGCAATGTAATTCAGGCTACAATCATCATTCATAAAATATTTCTCAATTGTGATTTGCAGCAAATGGTTTTCAGGCGCTCTCATCTCCCAACGACATGATGACGCTTTATGCCATTGGATTCTTCTATCAGTCACAGGACATGCTGAGGGGTAAGATAAAATCATTAGAACTTAATGTTGGGACAAAATTGAAAGACCCATTGTTCTTTGTTACAACAGCAGATCATTGGGAAATACTGTTCAGTAACAACTAGAACATGAAGTATGCTTGGATGCCAGTGAAAGGTGAAACTAATAAATTGAATCTGTACAGATGGTTTTGGGGAGTTTCCTGGATGTTATGAATATTTCATACATCACCATAAATAAACAATTTTAAACTTAGTTAAATATAATGGAAAAGGTTAATATGCAGAAATGTGACAACAATATTCTATGTAGGGAGGAATGGAGGACATAGTCTGATACAGATTCTTGTCAAATTAATCTGCTTTGTATCAAATTGATGCAGGTGTCACACAAATTCCAAGATTATTTTTGATCTCAGTTACAATTTGGAATTTGCAGTCAACTAGAATATAGAATTCAGGCCAAACTGTAGCCTGTCTCAAAATATGATCTAATCTCAGTCATTAGAATATTGAAGGCAATTAATCTTCTCTTGCCAAATACAGCTGCTTGCCGGTCTATTGTTTTCGAAACTATCTTGCCACTTTCCCATGCAGCTTGTTTTACACTATCTATAAATCTTATTTCTTCATGTGCCCCATTACATTAAGTGGAAAAATTGGTTTTGGGAAATATCACTCCATAAGCACACTGCCTGTTTAGGTCAACACAATCTGCCTTTTTCATTCAGCACCTAAATTAACTTAATTTTCACCTTCTGTTTTGCTCATTGTGATTTTGTTTTGTTCTTTATTGCATTACCTGCCTTTATTGCAAACCTATTCGTAGATTATTCTTATCTCCATTGCTTTTAGAACTTTGGCAGATTTCCTTCATAGATTCAGTAATTACATCCCTAATAAAGACAGCAGATTGAACAAAACACAAACTTTGCAGTGTCATATATCTCTCTCATTATAAAAAAAGAAAGGAAGCCTATTGTACCACAACTGTTTTTGCACTTCAAGAGTTCTCAGTTGAGCTCATTTTTTTACTTTAAGTGCATAGGAGACAAGAATGGATTCGCAAGTTTTCTGACTGCCCATTTGTGCCATCTTTGCAGTAACTTCCAGGTTCAACCTGATTTTGTACAAATACACATTGGAGAATGGTGCAAAGAAAAGGTGGGTTGTACCTACTTACAGACTGCATCAGCACTTATGTTAAATGTGCAAGCTGTACAACCTGGAATTGGCTGTACAGCAGCACCAAAAATGCTATAATTTAAACTCCGCTCTGTGACCAATGCTGCATGTGGAGGCAAAAGAAGAATCTAGAATTCCACATTGTGGCATGCATTGGAAAGGATAGTGTCAGCCATGAAAGCAACAACGCAACCGAGGAATAAATAGAAAGATTTTTGGTTCAAATCCTGTCAATATACAGTTCTCCAATGTCTACTGTTTATAAACATAAGGTCAACACATGCATGATACAAAAGGTTTTGCTTAAATCTGCTACATGCTGATTGCCTCTAAATATAATATAGTGAGGACAACCTTACAGATTTATACTTATCGTGTAGCTCATACTGCAATGGGAAGTCACACTACAATGGCATTTTCAAAGGCTTTCCCAGTTAAAAAGTCTTCCAATAAAGTCTAACTTCATAATTCATCTTGATTTTTAGACACGTATACACACTTTGTCACTTATTCACTCACTCTGCAATGTAGGAAACATTGGTTATCTCATAAGAATTAGGAGCAGGACTAGCCAGTTGACTCCTTGAATTTCCTTCACCATTCAATAAGATCATGGTTCATCTGACTTGGGTCTTAACTCCACCTTCCTGCCTACCCCCAAAGCCCTTATCTCCTCTAACAACCAAAAACCTGACTCAAACTGGAATACATTTAATGACCCAGTCTCCACTGTTAGCTAGCAGAAAGAATTCCAACCACTAACAACCAAACCTCAGAGGCGAAAGTCTGCCTCATCTCCATCTTAAATGGAAATCCCCTATTTTATACTGCAGTCCTCGTCCTAGATTCTCCCAAGAGGTGAAACTACCTCTCAGCACTTTCAAACTCTTTCTGAATCTTGATAGGTTTCAATAAGACCATTTCTCACTCTTCTAAACTCCACTGGAATATACACCCAACCTGCTCAACCTTTCCTCAAAAGTCAATGCCTTCATCCCAGCAATCAACCTAATGAACTTTCACTGAACTACTTCCACGAAAAGTAGATCCTTCCTTAATTAAGGAACCTAAAATTGTATACAGTACTCTGGAGGGAGGCTCCCAAACTCCCTTTACAGTTGCAGCAAAACTTCTCTACTTTTATACTTCATCCTCTTGCAATAAAGGTCAATATTACATCTGTCTTCTGAATTATTAGTTGTATCTGCATATTGACTTTTTGTGATTCATGTAAAGGGACACCAAGGTCCCTCAGTACGGTAGCATTTTGCAGTCTCTGTCCATTTAAATCATACTCGGCTTTTCTCTTTGTTCTCCCAAAGTGGGAAATCTCACCTTTTTCTATATTATACTCCAACTACAAAATGTTTGGCCACTCACTTAACCCTGCTATATCAATCTGTAACCTTCTCACAATTAACATCCTTATCAGGCAAATGACACAACATCTATAAGCTTTTATGTATGTTTAATGTGCTAGCTGGTGAAATTCGTTGTGATGAGTGCCTAAAAGGAAAGATGTTGGGTGGCTGAAGCAGATGCTGCCCCAAAAGAAGAGTGCCAGTCACAATGATTTTCAATTAGTCAATTTCACTCATTCCTGAGTACAATACTGTAACATAGCATCGTACAATGTCATAGAACAAAAGGAGACCATTCAGCTCATCATATCCATGCCGGCTCTCTGGGAAAGTAACTCAGCTGGTCCCATTCTCTCGCACATCCCCCATCAAAGTCAAAAATCACACAACACCAGGTTATAATCCAACACGTTTATTTGAAAACACTAACTTTCGGAATGTTTCTCCTTCATCAGGTATAGTGGGAGAGGCATCAAGGCACAGAATTTATAAGTAAAAATCAAAAGATCAAACAATTGATGAAAATGTATTGAATAAACCTAAAATGGCTGGCTGACACCCTCCTGTTAAAACTTTCAGGTTTCGATTGATTAAAATGCAAATCCCAGAATTTCTTTCAAGTCAGTGCCCTGAGATAACTGAAGGTTTTATTGGTGTATACAAGAGGTGACATCTCAGGTGTGAGGCCTTGTTTAGAATCTGTCTATATTTTAACCTAGAGTCAGACTGGTTTTATTTCCAAAGCAGGAATTTATGAAATGCCCCATTGAGTGACTGTGTCTACAAACTGTGCTTTTTGAACAAAATAGAATATATCTGCAAATGCAAATTCACCCCATAGATTTGTGTGTGTGTGTGTGTGTGAGAGTGTATAGTGTGGCGGGGCGACACACACACACACTCACACACACAAATTAGAATTTATTTGCAAATACAAATCTGCAAATGAAGTGAACCTGCATTTCCAGATTAATATTTACAGATAAATTCTATTTTGTTCAAAAAACACACAATTTGTAGAGACAGTCAGTTAATGGGGTATTTTATAAATTCCTGCATTGGAAATAAAAGCAGTCTGACTCCAGGTTAAAACACAGACAGATTCTAAACAAGGCCTCACACCTAAAATGCATTGTCTGACCTGAGATTTCACCTCTTGTATACAGTAATAAAATCCTTAGTTAACCCGGGGCAATGACTTGAAAGAAATTCTGGGATTTGCATTTTAATCAATTGAAACCTGCATCTCCTTTCTAACTGATTAAAGATTTAACAGGAGGGAGTCAGCCAGCCATTTTAGGTTTATTCAACACATTCGCATCAGTTGCATGATCTTTTGATCTTTTACTTATAAATTCTGTGTCTTGATGCCTCTCTCACTACATCTGATGAAGGAGCAACGCTCAGAAATCTAGTGTTTTCAAATAAACCTATTGGACCATAACCTAGTGTCATGTGATTTTTGACCTTGTCCAACCCAGTCAAACACCGGCACCTCCACACCATTCCTCATTGCCATGCAGATGCTTTCTCTTCAAATAGTTATCCAGTTTCCTCAGTTGGCTTACTGCTGACGGGTGGTCCCCATGCCCATGATAACAAACAACCAAAAACAGCACGTGGATGGCTGCTCGCACCAGAAAATAAATGCGTAGTGTGGTTGCTGTTTTGGAGTCAATTTACATCCATGGCACTGGAAATACTGGCATCATGCAATGGCTTTTCGTTAGCCAAGTCCTTCCGAGGTTTAAAGAATTTGATTGGAGTCCATGATTGTTGCAAATTGTGCATTACATGTTGTGATGCATGTGCACAGGGAGATAAATATTTTAGTTCCTAATTAAAAATATCTGAAATTTCATAAAAAGTTGTTCAAGTACCATTGGAAGCTTTTTTCCATAATAATTCTCTTCTAATGAACTATGCTTTCTCAAATTTGTAGATCTATGATGACTATCTGTTCTTCCCAATATTGAATAATGAAATAATTGAATTGGGGGAAAAAAGCATGTAGCATTAGTATTCTTCCAATCGTTTTAATAATAGATCTAACAATTATCGCAATTTAAATAGGATTCAATAATGGAATATGTTACAAACTAGTCACTGGCATAAAAGATTTATTGTGAACTAATACCACCCAGTACAGCACTGCACAGAACTGAACAGCAGTCATAATGTTCTACTTGCTGAATAAATCCTTTCTAACATTATGAAGCACCAAATCTTAACTGGATCAGCTACAAAGAGACTGATTAAAGAACTGTAAAATGTATTATATTTAAGACATTGATACTAAATTATCATCTATCAAATAAGACAACATATTACTTGCAACATAGGGGTAATTTCCTATAAATAGCTATTTTGCTGTATGAGAGATTGAGCAGAAATTTATTTTTTTCATCAAACTGTACTTGAGATTTATCTCAAACAAATATTTTATTATATTTCTTGAAATAGCAAAATATTAAATTGCATTATATTTGTAATTGTCAATTTGAAACTTTCTGAGTTACATTCACTGTTGTAAAAACAGACTCTACAACCAACATTGTGCCAGTTCAGTATTGTCTATTGACACAAGCCTCAGCAAAAGAAAGAAAAGTTACCTATAACTTAGTTATTTAAAAAATGCTTTACCTTCTTCCGAGAAGAGAGAATGCTCATCATTTTCTGTTTCTATAACAGGAAATAAAAGCATTAGCAACAAATTTCAAAATATTCCATGGTATTCAAAGTGAATGAACACTTATAAACGTTTATTATGAGCAATGTTACTAGGTTTATAGATTTGCATATTATATCGAACAAAACCATTAAAACAATCAGAACCATGCAGCTGTGAAAACATTGTTTTATGTACACTATCTTGATCTCTGAAAAGGTGGAACTCTCAGACTTTCTTTTGTAAAAAAAAAATTAAAAGTAAATTTCAGACTGGATGACTGACAAACTAATACTGTTGTTATACTGTCTTTAACTAGAAAGAAAAATGTTCCTTCAAAGTGATACATTGATCACAATACAACTCAAGTGTTAAAATCATCTCCATTTCTCAGAATAAAAGACTGGAAGAAGAACCTAACATGATTAGTTCATGACACTGCCTATTGTTTTTTTATAAACCTTATACTGATTTCAAACAGAGATACATGGATCGATCTACAGACCCCGAACAAATACAATGAAAAAATACAACAATTGACAACTCTAATCACGAGAACTAATATTACAAGAAAACTGTCATACCATAAATGTTAATAGAATTAATGTCTACATGAAACTTTTCCAAACGCTCTGTTGTATTGCTTGATTCAGTTGTTTTCCTCATGTAGTTATTCAATACCTTAACCACATCAACTGCGTGTAGGACCTTTTTGTCTTCCAGAAGTCTATTTTTCCCCACAGAGAATGTAAGCATGAAGTAAGCTAAAACACTTCCTTCACTGTGAAAGAAGATGAAATATTAAGTTACATTAGAAAGCCCAACTGCAAGAAGCCAAAACATTTGCATTGATAACCTATGAATGTCTCAAGAAGTTTTCAGGTCAGTGTGAGGGTGGTGTACTTGTTGGAAACATTAAGTTTGAGTAAAAATGGTACTGCTAAAGCACTTTTCAAGACAATTCATGTATTTGATATTTTTAAACAATTGTTTTGGAAGATTTCTTAAATAACACATAAAAATTGCTGTAAATGCTTGTTAGAACAAAAACTCTCAGATTTTTCTGTACAGGACAATTCAGAATAGCTGTCTGCCCAACCGTCCTTAATTAACTACAAATAATCATTTTTGCAGAATGAAAGTAAGATGTCAACTTTAGTTTTAGTCAATCCCCATAAATTGTAGCTTGTCCAAAACAAAATCTCTCTCACTCATCAAACCCTTTGGCACTGACCTAAATTAGCTCCTGGACCTATGTCCTTCATCTAAATCTTTCCATGGCCTTTCCAACTGCAAAATTTTGACATCACTTTGTTTTCCTTCATTTGTGACAGTCTGGATTCTGCACCATTCATTCAGTGATAGTTTAACATCCAGGAGAGATCTATTTAAATCAATCACCCCAAAATGAAATAAAGAAGGGACCTGAGCCTGGTGGTGAGGAAAACATTATACATGTACCTTGGCAGAGATGGGAGTGAGAAGGAAGGGTCCTAGGCTTGGTGGGGGGTGGAGTGCTGACACAATCCATGGTCAAGAAGGCAGCTCGCCACCAACTCCTTATTGGCAACTGGGGATGGGCAATAAATGCTGGCCAGCCAGCGAAGCCCATTTCCCACACAATGAAAAATCAGCTCTCTCCCACAATCCACCTGTCTTACAAAGCATCTTGTGTTCTCTCCAGAGTTGGGCAGTCTAGCAGTGTCAACACAGACACACCAGACAATGATCAGCAGGAAGGGTAGTTTGCCAAATAAAATGGAAAGAGAGAAGGAAGCTCCTGGGAGAAACTTTTTGTTTATATCATAGCATTTAGGAAGCTACATTGATACTTTTGCCTGCTTTCCAAGTTTAATAAACTGTGATCACTTCTGAACGCAATTGTGATTTTCTTTCAGAGCCTAATCTTCAATCAAGTCTCATTCCAAATTAGACCATTCGATTTCAAATTATGCAGTAATCATTCTTAAACACTTCAACGCTAATTCAATGTCAACATTTTCTGGTAGGAGAGTCCTTCCCTGTTTTTGTATAATTCTGCAGTCACTCTTTCACATTCTCCATTCCTTCGATTTCATCCCCATTTGCAACATCAGTTCCCTCTCTTCCATGTTTTAATTGACTAAACGCCCTCCTTTTGTGCCATATCATTCTATGATATGGTGTTTCAGTCACATATGATGGAAATTTGTGAGGGTGAGACTGAATTCCCAATGCCTTTTCAACTTCCCTCTCAGTAACAACTATTATTTTAGTTACTAATCATCATGTTTCTTTGACACAAGATCCATTTTCTAATTACATTTATGATGTGCCCTGATGGTTTTCTACAAAAGTTGTGTTATACATGCAGCTTTTGTAGTTGGTAACATTGATTTATGGCTATTAAAGTTTGTCTTAGAAATACTGTAAAATTTGTTTCTCCTTTCAGAATTTAAACCACATTTCATTGCAAAGGAGTCTTTTGCCAGAATAATTAGAAATTGTAACATTAGTAAGTTGCAAAGCCCAGGATTTTAACCACATGTTTGCATGTATTAATATACGATGATCCTAGCTCTAATGCTTCAGCGAAAAGCAATACACATAGGTGGATCAGTAATGATCTCTGAATGGATGACAAAAACAAATGAACATTTAAAAAGTCTTTTAAAAAACTTGACTTGAGTGGAAAACAACTATATGAGAACGTTAAAGAAATGAATTCCTACCTAAAGGCGATGACATTGACACTGACAAAACGTTGTGCCAACTGCGATCTTCTAAACATTTCAGCCAACTGCCAAACACATAAAATAAACCAAAGCAATAAATCGAATTCCACCACCCAGTTATTTCTAAGTAGCTAGCATTAGCATTGTGTGCAGTTTTTGTCTCCTTTTGAGGAAGGATGTTCTAGCTATGGAGAGACTGCAACAAAGCTTTACCAGACTGGTTCCTACAAAAGCAGGACTGAATATATTCACTGGAGTTTAGAAGAATGAGGGAAAATGTCATGCAAATTTATAAAAGTCTAACTGGACTAGACAGGGTAAACACAGGAAAGATGTCCCCAAGCACTGGGAATGCACAGCCAGAGGTCACAGTCTGAAGGATGCAGGGTAGGTCATATGGGACTGACATCAGGAAAATGTTCTTCACCCAGGGAATGGTGAGCCTGTGGAATTCTCTGTCACAAAAAACAGCTGAGGTCAAAATATTGAATGTTTTCAAGAAGAAGTTAGATAGAGTTCTCAGTGCAAAATGAATCAAAGGATGTGGGGATAAAGGGGGAACAGGGTACTGAGTTGGATGATCAATCATTATTTTATTTTATGGCAGAGCACGTTTGAAGGAAGGGACAACTGTCCTACTCTACTCCTATCTTCTATGTTTCGATGTTTCTATTTGGTCTATCTGTGATTAGGGGTGCAATTTCCTCTCCCTGGAGGTGACAAAACAGGAGGCAAGAGGAGAAATAATGGAGTGTGTTGGCCCAAGGGACAAACGCATCCACTTCTTGCCACCTCATTAATTATGTTCCGAGTGAAAAAGTCCATGAGTGAGTTTCTCAATCCACCACTAATTAAGGCTCTTAAGTGGTCAATTAATGGCCACTTAGGATCCAATTGTCATGTCCTCTATCACTTGACTTCCTGAATGGGTAAGCAGGTCAACTTGCCTGTTGTACATTGTGAGCAGCACATCCAGCTGCTCCAATCTGGGGGGAGCTGCAGGCATAGATGGGGTGGGCAACAAGATGTGCCTCTGAAAACCACCCATAAACTTACATCTGATCCACCTCTTCCCACATATAAACCGTACTTATCTTCTCGGCACTGGATCTGTCTGTATCCAGGCCTCAGATTCACCAAGAAACTCGCTTATGCTCTGCTTGTCAGCTCTTAATGAACTGACCTGGCAGACAAGATGGCAAGTTTTCTTGACAGTGCAGGTGTGTTATGTTGGTCACCAACAAACATGCTCACTCCTACACTTTAAAAAATAATGGAGAAATTCTGCCCCAAGTTACTTTATTCTTGCTAAGAAGAAATATATCACTAACACATTTATCAAGAATTAGTTATCACTTTTTCTACATCATGAATTATTTTCACTAACAGGAGACAGTTAATGTGGTGACTAAAATGTAGCAGAATATATTTAGGATTTTGAATGTTATGGTTTATTTTGTACTAAAATCATCCTATAAGAATACAGATCTTAGCTCTTTAAGTGCAAATTATGTTGAGGACAAATTGAGTTTTCACAATCATAAACATTGGTTTAAAAATTCTTTGCACTTGAAACTGACTTTGCTCACAATACCAGCCATGCAAACAGATCAAAATAATGAAAAAATAAAAACCAAAAGAACTGTGGATGCTGTAAATCAAACAAAAACAGAACTGAGTAAGGGTCACTTGACTCAAAACATTAACTCTGATTTCTTTCCACAGATGCTGCCAGACCTGCTGAGCTTTTCCAGCAACTTCTGTTTTTATTTCAAAATAATGAGCATGCTGATAGCGCCCTATTTTGACTGCTCAAGGATGCTTTTCAAATTAAGCTTATTTTTAAATGCAAAGATACACGCATACATTTTAAATATCAAAAATATTTAACTTAAATGAAACAAATTGTTGCACATCAATGAAACTGGTAAACTGTTCAGTATTTTTATTTAAATTAATTATCAGTGATTTAATTTCAGGTAGTTTACAAGTATTGGACTAGATTCATCGTAAGACGTTCATTTTATGCGCAATGTCATTTTCAATTCTATTAATAAAATTGCATCAGTTGCAAATCTCAAATGTATCAATTAATATTTTTATTGATACATGCTTCCATGATTTTATACACGGAACAAAAACCATAACATTCTGTTCTGCACTCTGATGGTGCTGTCTCAGGGATGAGTTGGCATATGCTACAACGGAAATAAATTTGTGTGGGAAGATGAACTTTAACTTCACTCCAGAAAGTAACCACAATTTCAAATGCAATTTTCACCCAGACCGCCAATAATACCGAAGTAGAACTTCTTCCTGTTATATATTCTAATAATTTTGCATGTCTCATTTGTAGCCAAGTAAGTTCTAGTTTGTGAATTGTTCTATGAATGAAAAACTGTCCAAACAACAAATAAAAGTATGTTACTTACTGGTTCCTTAACCTGATTGGCTAAGTGGATGAACTCAGAGGATCTGCTGTCTGTTAATGCAGGATTGAAGATGGCATTTACAAGGTGAACTGAACCACTGAAGTAAACTCTACCATTTGGAATCTCGCCTGTTAGAGTTGATAGAATATAGAAAGTTAACCAAAACTATTACAGTGTTCAGAAATCATTAATGAGTGAAAATCTTTACTCTCGATAGATTGGATGAGAAATGCTATCACTACGGCTCTACTGCAAGTGACACATTTATTTGTCAAATCCCCATGAATATGTAAGCAGAGCTTTAAAAGGTAAAATAAAAAGTGATAAGAATTTTTTAAAAAGCATGCTAACAACAATTAGCTTTTCTGATGAAGGGTCTCGGCCCGAAACGTCAGCCTCTCTGCTCCTGTGATGCTGCTTGGCCTGCTGTGTTCATCCAGCCCTGCACCTTGTTGTCTCGGATTCTCCAGCATCTGCAGTTCCTACTATCTCTAACAACAATTACATTTCTGTAACACCTTTGCATGAATTAAAGATCACAAAGTACTTCACAGGAGCATTACTGAATAAAAATGACACTGAGCCTGATAATACATCAGGATCGATCACCAAAACCTGGTCATAAAGGTAGGTTTTACGGAGCTTGTAAAATGAGGATGGGAACAAGAGCGATCTTTTATTCATTCAAGAGATGTGGTGTCACCGGCTGGGCCAGCATTTATTGACCATCCATAGTTGCCGTCGAAGAGTTGGTGCTGAGTTGCTTTCTTGAATCATTGCAGTCCATTTTCTGTTAGACCCACAATGCTTTTAGGGAGGGAGCACCAGACATTAGGATCTTGGTATCTGCAGATCTAATTTCTGATGATTGAGCAAATAAAACCAGAGATGCTCAAGAGGACGGAATTGGATAAGGATAGATATTGTGCAGGGCTCCAAGAGTGAGAACTTTACAGATTTAGACAGAGCAAGTATGTGGAGTGATGTGAAAATGAGGATTAGAAATTTAAAACAGAGGCATTGCCAGATTGGGACATAATGTAGTTCAGTAATTGAAATGACGATGCGTGAACAAGACCTAGTGCATGTTAGCACATGGTCAGTTTTGGATGACCTTAAGTTTGTGGACGATAGAACATGGGAGGCTTGGCAGAAGTACATTGGAGTAGTCAAGCCTTGACAAGGTTAACAATGCCCTGGATGGGGATTTTAACAGCTGGTGAGCTGAGGCAGAGTGAGTTAGGTGACGGAGGCTAGTAGTACTAGTGATGGAGTGGTTGATGCTGTCAGTCAAGTATGATATGAACATTTTAAACCAAAATGAGACACAATTTCATGTGGTTAATATATGTACGGTTAATATTACAAACAGTATCCTGAATAAAAATATCATGAAGTAATGATCCTTGTTTTGCCTAAACTTGTCACATGTCAACTGTAGCTCTTTTGCTAACATTCTTGTCTTGAACACATAAGAACTGATGGCCAGCGGTATTATCAGTGGACTGTTAATCCAGACACTCAGCTAATGTTCTGGGGACCTGGGTTCAAAACCTGCTATGGCAGATGGTGGAATTTGAATTCAGTAAAAAATCTAGAATTAAGAGTTTAATGATGACCATGAATTTATTAGGGGATGTGATGACCCAGTGGTATTTCTGCTTAACTGTTAATCCATAAACCCAGGTAATGTTCTGGGGTCCCAGGTTTGAATTCTGCCATGGCAGATGGTAGAATTTGAATTCAATAAACATCTGGAATTAATAGTCTAATGCTGAAAATGAATCCACTGCCAATTGTTGGAAAAACCCATCTAATTCACTAATGTCCTTTAGGGAAGGAAACTGCCATACTTACATGGTCTGGCCTACATGTGAGTCCAGACCCACAGCAATGTGATTGACTCTTAACTCTCAATCAGGGATGGACGATAAATGCTGCCTAGCTAGTGACGCTCTCATCCCATGAAGGAATAAAAAAAGTAAGAAGGCTGTAAATTTGAATCCACAGCATGTTGTGAGCACAATAAACAAAGGCAATACTAAGGGAGTGCTTGACTGCTATTGGTGCTTCTTTTGCATGAGATATTAATACTGTTTCAAAATAGAGCAAGACAATTTCTCTCATGTCCCAGTCAATATTTTTGTATCTCAATCAACATCACAGAACAGATTATCCACTATTTATCACAATGTTATTTGTGAGAGTTTGCTGAACACAAAGTGGCTACCACATTTCCGACATCAGAATAGTGACTACACTTCAAAAGCACTGCATTTGCTGTAAGATGCTTGGGATGTCCTTTCATCATGAAAGGTGCTATATAAGGAACAAAGATCAGTACAGCACAGGAACAGGCCTTTCAGCCCACCAAGACTGTGCAGACTCACGATGCTTTTCTAAATTTAAAAATCTTTTGCTTCTATGCGGTCCCTTTCCCTCTCTTCCCTGCCTATTCATGTTTCTATCAAGATGCCTCTTAAACATTGCTATTGTATTCTCATCCACCACATCTTCTGGCAGCACATTCCACCCTCTGTGTAAAAAAACTTGCCTCTCACCTCTCCTTTAAACTTTCTCCCCCTTACCTTAAACCTATATTCCCTAATCACTGACATTTCTACCTTGGGAAAAAGACTCCAACTGTTCATTCTATTCATACTTCTCATAATTTTGTAAACCTCTATCAGGTTGCCCCTCAGCCTCCCATGTGCAAGTGAAAACAAACTGAGTTTTTCCAATCTGTCCTCATTGTTATTGCATTCCAAACCAGGCAACATCCTGACAAACATTTTCTGCACCCTCTCCAAAGCTTCCACATCCATCTGCTAGTGTGGCAACGAGAACCGTACTCAAGATTTCAAATATAGCCTTACTAAAATTCTATACAGCTGCAACATGATTTGCCAATTTTAATATTCAGTGCCCTGATCAATGAAGGCCAGCATGCCATACACCTTCTTGACTGCCACATCCACTTATGTTGCCACTTTCAGGGAATCGTGAACCTGTATGCCTAAATCTCTCTGTATTGTCAGTAACAGTTCTGCCATTTACTGTACATTTCTGTCCTGTATTAGACCTTCCAAAATGCATCTCCTTGCATTCGTCTCGAATAAACTTCATCGCCACTTTTCCACCAAAGTCTCCAGCCTAACTATATCCTGTTAAATATTCTGGCAATTCTCCTCACTATCTGCTGCTTTCCCAAACTTTGTCTTGTCTGCAAACTTACTAATCAGACCACCTACAATCTCTTCCATATCATTTATATAGATTACAAAAAGCAGCGGTCCTAACACTGACCCCTGTGGAACACCACTGGTCACAGATCTCCAATTGGGAAAATACCCTTGCACAGCTGATATCTGGCTTCTATCATAAAGCCAGGTCTGTATCCATATTACCAGCTCACTGCAGATCCCACATGATTTCACCTTTTGTGTCAGCCTGCCATGAGGCACCTCGTCAAAGGCCTGGCTAAAGTTTGTATGGACAACATCAACCAGTCTGACTGCATCAATTGTCTTTGTCACTTCCTCAAAAAACTCAATCAAGTTTGTGAGGCACGACCTCCTCCACACAAAGCCAAGTTGCCTACTGCTATTAAGTCCATATTTTTCCTAAATGTGAGTAAATTGTGGCCCAAAGAATCTTTTCCAATAATTTCCCTACCATTCAAATAAGGCTCACGGGCCTGAAATTTCTTGGATTATCCCTATTGCCCTTCTTAAACAAAGGAACAACATTGGCTATTCTCCAGTCCTCTGAGATCCAGCCTGTGACTAAAGAAGATACAATGATTTCATATAAGATTCTAGTAATTCCTCCCTCACCTCCCTCAGTATTCCGGGATAGATCCATCAGGTCCTGCGGACTTGTCTACAGTACTTTTTTTAAGAACAGCCAATACCTTCTCCTCTTTTCATATTGACATGCCCTAGAATATCAACATACCCCTCCCAAGACTCACCAAACACCATGTCCTTCTCCTTTGTGAATACCGACGCAAAGTATTTGTCAAGGATCTCACCCACATCCTCTGGCTCCATAGATGGATTTCCTCCTTTGTCATTAAGTGCACCTACCCTTTCCTTAGCTATCCTCTTGCTCCTTATATACATATAAAAAGCCTTGTGATTTTCCTTAATCCTGTTGCCAAGGTCATTTTGTGGCCCCTTTTAGCCCTCCTAAACTCTTGTTTAAATTCTTTCCTGCCTTTATATTCCCCGGGGGCTTGTCTGTCTTCAGTTTCCTGCACCATTTTTATGCTTTCTTGTTCTTTCTGACTATGCTCACAATTTCAGCTAAGGTTCCCAAATCTTGCCATCCTGATCTTCCACTTTCACAGGTACACGCTGATCTTGAACTCTAATCATGTGGCCTTTAAAAGATTCCCACATGACAGATGTGGATTTATCCTCAAACAGCCACCCCACCAACCCCCCATCCACATTCCCCAGTTCCTGCCTAATATTGTCGTAACTAGCCTTCCTTCAATTTGGTACTTTCACCCAAGGACAACTCTTCTCCTTATCCATAAATAACTCAAAACTTCAGAAATTATGGTCACTTGTTCCTGAAACCTCCCCCATTGAAATTTCAATCACCTTGCCAGCTCATTCCCCAATATCGGGTCTAGTGTGGCCCCTTCCTATTTGGACTATTTATATATTCCTTCAACAAACCCTCCTTGATGCACCTAACAAATTCTGCTCATCCAAAGCCCCTGGCACAAAGGGAGTCCCAGTCAATATATGGAAAGTTAAAATTTTCCATCACAACGACCCTGCTGTTTTCAAATCATTGTTTTTTTTTCAAATAAATTTGTAACCTTTTTTCAGTTAAATTATCTGGTATTGCAGAAAGGTTGTCAGTCTTCATTTTGCCTGTATGTGACAGAATTCTGCAGTGCATGCAACAAATCAATTAATTTCCCTACATTCTGAAATCTGAGGCATTTTTGCAACATGGACAAGAAGCAGCATGGATCTTGCAGCTGCTCCTGGGATTGCAGGCTTAGTTAAAGATTTACTAACGAACAAGGGTAGGGCTTATACATTTAATGGTAGGGCCTTGGGTAGTGTTGTAGAACAGAGGGAGCTAGGGGTGCAGGTACATAATTCTT